GCCGCGTGACACGTGGCGCGCGCTGAAATCACGGCGCCACCCCACTCCCCGACTGGACCATTTTTTTTTTCTTTTCTTTTCTTCTTCTTCTTGTTCTTCTATTTCTTCTTCTTCTTCTTCCTCTTCTTTACTTTCTTTCTTTCTTTCTTTCTTTCTTTCTTTCTTTCTTTTTCTTATTCATTCATTCATTCATTCATTCATTCATTCATTCATTCATTCATTCATTCATTCATTCTTTTTCTTATTTTTTTACTTCTTATTATTATTTTTATTCTTCTTTTTCTTCTTCTTCATTTTCATTTCCTCTCCAGGTTGCAGGCCCGGTGCCACGAAGCGAGGGGAATCGTGAATATATGCATCCGAGCTTTGGGGTTTGGTGGGGATGTGTTGTATTCGAGGGGGTGCTTAGGTATACATGCCCGAAGTGTGAGCTTAATTGTAAGTATGGTCGTGTTCCCAAGTTTTGACGGGTTCAACCACTGCCTCACCGTGCGACTTCCTCGGTAGACTACTGCGTGCCATAATACGGTCGAACGTTACTGGATAACGCCATTCTGCCGCGCAGTAGTCAACCTCTGTGTGTGTGTGTGTGAGTATATATATATATATATGTATATGTATATTTATCTATCTATCTATCTCTCTGTGCGTCTCTTTCTTTCCGCCTTTTCAGATATCAAGAATGTTGGAAGTCGGAGATAAATGAAAGGCAGGAGAAGAGACAGAGTGCGATCGATTTCCAGATGTATATGCACCGTGGGAAGGCAAAGATGAAACACGGGCTTTAATCGATGAGAGTTGGGCTGAGATAGTAGAAGAGCAGCAAGAAGTTATAGATAAACTGACAGCTGAACTGATCGAGCAGAAACAGTTGGTCACCCAGGCGCGCGATGAGACAGGTCGTGTGGAACTTGCACTCGTGGAAATGACAGAAACTGCGGAAAGTATGCAGTATAGCATATTCTGGTTGTTGCTGCCCGATCCGAAGTCTCTTGTGACGGATCTGAGGGAGGGCAATGACCGAACAATTTTAAAAAATGGGGGACTCAAAAAATTGCACGTTAGAGGATTACCAGAGTATGGTTGCGAATCTCAAATGCTATCGAAAAAATCTGCTTAGTCTCATCGACAATTCGTTCCGTGGCACAGCACAAACCGCTTGTGAATGGGATGTCACATGTTGTTCCTCTGCTGACAAATGTGTGGTCAGAGAAGGGTGGGGGTCTTACTATAGTCAGGAATTGGACAGAGGTCCGCTGACAACGTAGTCGAAAAGTCTTGTGGATCTTTTGTCTTTTGCCGAGGACTGCATCCGTCATTGCACGGAGACCGTAGAGCACTACACTCTCAACCATCGGCCGCAGACCGACGGCGCACATACGGGATGCGATGGCCTTAATGGGAAAGTACGGACTCTGCTGAATAGCTGCGCCGATATTGTATGTTCTCTTCAGCACACCAGAGGTCGCCTGACATCCGGACAGTTGTCTGTAACGCCGAACCCCGTAGAAACCAACGAGGCGCACAATGAGCAAGCCACGAACGCTAGCAGGGAGGTCGATCTCACTATGCGGATGTGCAACAACGATGCAGGTCGAAGTGTCTGTGAGGCACCGGCACACCTGTTGCTAGATTGCAAAGATATCAACACCTTTCGATGTCATGAAATTCGACACAATTTCCCTTGCGTCCTCGCCAGCAAAGCACCGTCGACAAGCAATGCAGAGTTCGCAGTCCGTATGACCACGGAAATATTTGAGCAGTTCGTGGCAAATGCTAATAAACGACAAATGACAAGGCTTGTGGCGGACTGCATATCCCACCTTATTTCTTTCGCAAAAGAGATGATGTCGAGGGTCGTAACAAACGCAGAGCATCGTGCAGAGGTCATCAATTGTCAGCATTACCAGAAAGGACTCCACATCAACGACCGGCTAAGGGCTCTCTATAAGAGATGTAAAGTCGTTGCAGAGCGTCTCGTCAAAAAAGTTTGATGTGCGAAG